TGCACAAACTGTATTTAACATTATGGTTTATAGTAGTACACAATTAAAAGTCCACATTAGACGAAAGCTTCGTGCATTGCATTTTAGATAAATGCTCTCCAATTAATTTCCACTCAGCTGATCAGTTTGAAGATGCCCATTTGCCATCTGAACTCTCAAAGCAACCTTAGGAGACACTATCAGACTGTGCTAAAGGTGCAACAAGTGTTGAAGCCTCAACTTGTCCCTTGCACTCAAATATTCTCCTGTAACCAGCCCTCAAGCCTAGGCATCTTTTAGGGTCCACGCAGTTCAGAAGGCTCTCACTGATGATCACGTACTGCTGCCCTTTCCACGGTGCTCAGCCTCAAAGGTGCCACTTTCTTCTAGGTTCCCTGTGGACACAAGCTTGGACACCGACATTTCTAACCCTGCATGTGTCTATAGGGAAGGTGGAGAAGAGAGAGGTCGCATTCCTTCCAGGCACTCACCACCCCTCTCTCTGGCCCTGCAAGGGACAATATTAGAAAGACAACACAAAGCAATAGAGCATTGTGAGGCTTATGGATTATTTTTTTTTAGTTCAAAAAAACACTTATATGTTTTGCTCCTGTATTTTCAACATTCTACAAGCAAATGAAGTCTGCCCTAGGCTTTTAACGAGCTTTTGGAAAAGCCTTCTCGAAGGAGGTGAAATATTCGGTGACTATTTTAACATTGTGAAGAAGTGGCAGAAATAGCAAGATGAAATAATTGATGGTATCAGGAGTATATTTTGTGTGTTGGATAATTCTGTAACATTTTCCACTGACTTTAGTCTGTTGTCTTTATCTATATTATTGAAAAAAAAAAAAAATCAGAATTCTGTCAAACCCTATAATGTCTGTATTATCTCAAAGATGAAGCATCACTATAGACTGAACTTTTCAACAAATATTTTCCTGCCTCAACAATTTTTTTAATAGTTCCTCACTGACCTATATGGTCAGCTGAACACGGCATTAAACGGTACGGAAAACATATCACTATCTTTTGATATATCCTAGAAGTCACTTAAATATGATGTTAGCTACATCTTGGAAGCTCTTACATGATTTTTAAAAGAAGTTACACGTGGATATTAAATGTGTGCTGTAACTTGCTTTAAGCGATTAAGAATCACTAGGTAGTGAGTAAAGCAAAAACAGGTAGCGAGGAATGCAAAAACAAGCTGATAGTGACTCAAACTATATGAAGGAATAGTAAAAACATACCTAAGAGTGAATGTAATAACTAACATGGTCTAGACTGGTTTGTTCACTGGAAACCATGTAGAAAAAAAATCTTTCACTGCTATTTTTATTAACAATTCACACCATGCTTGTTATGATGCAAGCAGACAGTATTTCTACCATAGAAGATGGGTTCCAATCCTGCAAATATTTACTTATGCATTTCCCTTCCCCATTCTGATTAGTCTTATTTGCCACTCAGAGAGGCATGAGCATATGCCCAAGCATCTGCAGGATCAGGGTCTAGAGTAGGCAAAATACCTGAAAGGCAGAAATGGAAACCCTAGAGGCTTGCCCTCAGATCCCAAACATTCAGGCAGTGGAAGATTCAGAGAAAACTCTCCTGAACCCCAGTCTGTTGGCCTATCCTGAAAATCACAGATGTTTGAGAGTATGCTGGAGAAATGCATCTGGCCCTAAGGAAGAGTTCTGCCTTACTCTAAGTAATTGTGAAGATTTTAGTTAAACATCTAACCTGCAGCAGAACCCATTTAACTCCAGAGAGGTGCTGACTGACAGGCAGAGTTGAAGCAGCAGGATAGCTCTTCTCATCTAACGCTGACTCTCAAAAGGCCACAAAACATTAATCAATTCATTCACACAGATGTGCATAGAGGGAGAAAACCACTGTTCCCTGTTAGGATTCAGGAATTCTGCTAAGACACTGCCTTCTGATCACAGTAACTTGGCCCCTAGCCTATATTCATTAAATACAGTCCATACATACATACAGAACATAAGTTAGAATCCATTTTTAAAACTAGCCCCTTGGTACTGTAGCTTACATTGTGATTTCTTAAAATGAAATGAATGAGATTTGTTTTCATCATGAAGATTCCCCTGGTGTTAAATTTCATAAAATATCTTTAGGAGTATTTTTGTTCCTGGAAAATAATGAGTCTCTATTATAACAAATCCTCAACAAGACAAAAGTCAAATAAAGTTTATGTTTTCACTTTGTGTGCAAATGTAGTGAGAAGATGTACAGTGCAAGAGGATGATGTGACAGTACATCCAAGTTTCCATCTGCCCTGGGAGCCCATGTTTCAGTAGTAGTAGCTGCTGGGACTCAAAAGGACTCAAACTTAGCGATCAGAGGAAAGGGTAAAGAGGTGTTTGACAAAGGAGTCCTGACAACTAATATGGGAATATCTTCCAAACTACTGTGTTCTGCTATGTCCCCAAGCTCTCAAAACCAGTGAAACAAATGGGACACTGTTCCATGAAGGGAAAAGAGCCTTACAAAGCTCACCTCTGAGTGGTTTTGCATTGTCTTCTAACATATTGTAAGTTATAGAGAGCTTGAAGCAGAGAGGAGGCATTACAGTATGAGACATGGGGGCTATGTTCCATCCTATAACTGCTTATTTTATTTTTATACTTGGTCTCTAGGAACGGAAGAGAGCTGGTTGTTCTTTGATTAAGTGATGCATAATTATCAGTAAGCTATAGCAATCTGCTGTCAGAAAACATCAAAGAGAACCAAGAGCAAGATTTTTCTCCCACAGTCAGCAGTTTTTCATATGGTAGAGAGGAAACCTGTGCTCTCTGGAAGGTTCACAGGTTCATGTATCTCACAGCAAGAGGAGACCGCTAGGATCTTGGAATATAACCCTAGTGATTCTTGCCTGGTCATCAAGACCTTGTGGCTTCTTCAGATAGATTCTGTTCTGTCAGCCCAAAACATTCCTTACGTGAAGTCTCAAAGAGCTAATTCTTCCTGTCATGACATACAAAATACACTTATTACGAGACTGCTAGCACAAAACTAGGTTCCTCCTCACCACTTGACCCTGTTAAACTTCAACCCTACTGCAGGGAAAAGCAACAAGCAACTCACCACCCCTGGGCAGATGTGATTCTCTTTCTCGACAACACCTTTATTGCTCAAATAATATACCATTTTTCATCGTTGTCTTTCTTTGTGAGGGCAGAAAAAAACAGACTTCACACTGGAAGTACAAGCCATCTACAAATGCTCTAACTGGCAAGACTGAAGGCACTAGTTATTCGTGGTAAGTCAGGAGGTTGTTCAGCCTGGAGAAGAGAAGGCTCTGGCAGGATCTTATTGCAGCCTTCCAGTACTTAAAAGGGGGTCTATAAGAAAGATGGGGACAAACTTTTTAGCAGGGTTTGTTGCGACAGGACAAGGGGTAATGGCTTTAAACTAAAAGAAGGAAGATTTAGACTAGCTATAAGGAAGAAATTTGTTACAATGAGGGTGGTGAAACACTGGACAGGTTGCCCAGAGAGGTGGTAGATGCCCCATCCCTGGAAACATTTCAGGTTGGATGGGGCTTTAAGCAATGTGATCTAGTTGATGATGTCCCTGCTCATTGCTGGGAAGGTTGGACTAGATGACCTTTAAAGGTCCCTTCCAACCCCAACTATTCTGTCAGTCTATGATAAATTACCAAGAAAAGTTTCGTTCAACACATCTTTCTGTCTCACATGACAGAATGTTTACGTCAAAGGATAAAGTATGCTGCAGTTTAAAACTGGACAGTGGTCTGCTGGAGGTTAAGAAACAACCCTTTCCCTCTACACCCTCAGGCATGATCACAATCAAACTATCTACATCAACTGCAAGAGGCATTTCTTTATTCTTCCCTTTTTTAACTTGTGTGAAGAAATAATAATAATAACAACAACAACAACAATAATAATAATACCCCAAAACAAACTCATGCAAAGACCTAGCAAACAAGACTTTCCACTTCATGTAGTTCTTACATGGCAGAAGAGATTAGAAAAATAACTGAGCAGCAGTGATAAATGCATAGTTGTGTTTCACCTAACACTGCAAGGTACACATGAGCACAGCCACAAATTTTTCAAAACATAACAGAACAGTCCTTCAAAGGGAGGAAAAAAGAAAAAAGAACTAAAAGAATAAGTTAAAAGTAAGACCAAAGCCTGAAAAACCCCAAAGCAAACATTTCTGGCTGGTCAAAGCACAGAACTCAGAAATATCTCTTAAACGTACAGCAATTTAATGAATCTCCTCTTTTGCTAGCCGTCTAACAGATGCCTAAAAGGAACTGTATTGCTGCTACAATATGACTGTATTAATGCAATTTGCTGACGGATTTCTGCATAACCAAATTGTTTCATCTGCTACATAACATTCATTTGCTTTTCAGTACTATGATCTCAGTCCAGGTATGGGCACGTAGGCTTTCCTGAAAGACAATTAGGCCCAATTAAAAGTAATCATCTTTATCAGATAGGTCAAATACAGAAAGGAGGAACTCGGTGATCAAAAACAGTCCCAGAAGTGATCTTTCTGGATTACGAAAGAGTCACTTTGGTGAAGCAGGGTAGGAGAAGCAAAAGATGCTAATCTCACTCTGTAAGGAAAGGGGTGTAGTTTTCAAATCTGTAAAATCAGTGCCTTTCATGAACACTACATTCACTCCACTTTTACTGCCTTCAGAACTCATATTTGTGAAACAGGATCTCTACTCTGGAAAGTTCACATCACAGTAAGGAAGCAGTGCCCTCTCTCTCCGTTTTATTTGTTCCTACTTAAAACACTTCATTTGCCTATAAATCTGCTCAGAGCAGACTGGGCCAAATCCTTAGATTCTGTAAAGCATCACATCTCCACCAATGTCCGTGGAACTCCAAAAGACACCAACCAAGCTCCTGGCCTGCTCATCACACTGTATCCTGTCAGTAATCATATAATTTCCCCCCCAAGCGAGCCAATCATAAGAAAGAAGATTTGCACTGAGCAGCTTTACTTACTGCAGTTCTCTGCCTTTTTATTTCGATGAATCACCGTCTTTTGACTGGGTGTGCTGAAGAGGCTGGTCCAGTTAACAGTGTGGTAGTAGCACAAATTGCTGTTGTCTGTTATGTAGATGTTGCCAGCACTGATTTGCTTCAAGGAC